TGAAAGGTCTTGTTTTAAATATTATTCACTAAATTTACTATATAATTTAGCTTCTCATTTGCTATCATTGATCAAACCAATAAAATTTTTGTAACTATAATTTTGCTATTAAATATGACAAGTCTTGTTTTAAATATTATTCACTAAATTTACTATTTGAATTTTTATTGATCGGCCATGTTCTTAAGTAGTGAACTAAGTTTAGTTAATAAAATATCTAATTATAAGATTTGAAGTTCTTGTGATTTATTATCATGTGTATATCAGAATAATAAAAATAGATTAGAAAAAAATTTCTTTTTAATTATTTAGTTATCTAGAGAAAAATTATAAATTTTTAAAAACTATAACAATATTAAGATATTTTAAATATATGAGTGTTAAGATGGATTTAGCATGTGATATAAAAAAATTAGAATTAATTTAAGTAATTTAGTGATTTTATTAAAACCCGATAACTAAAATAAAACTCATTACTCAGATCTTGAACTTAGTTTAGTTGATTACTGAACTGGATTTAAAAACTCTGTTAATTAGTTTTGAATTTAAGATTGATTGTTGTTGATAGAAACTATAAAATAAGGGGATATAAATTAAGAGTTGATGAAATGACAAGGGTGAAGATATAGTTTGTCCACTGCTTGATGGGGAGTGCCTGCACTCAGCACGTGTTAAGATCGATCTTGTAAGATTGTCGGAGATTTATGGAATCACTGTGATTCACTAACCACGTGTCACGGACGTGGCATGAGGCCTGCGTCTTTTTTTTTTTTTTTTTTTGCCCATACAGATTCGAATACATGCCGTTGAGCTTCTATAGATTAATGAAAATTTGATAATTTATCAATATTGTTTTTTCAAAACTATAATATATTGTGATTATAAAAATATCATCGAATTATATATTATTATTCTTTTATATAAATGTTTAACTAAAATAAGTTTGTAGTTAGTCTTATTAAATATAAATCATGGATGTATTTATGTTTGTAATAAAATAAGATTATATTCATAATATACTTAATTAATATATTTCATGAATATTAATTTAAACAAATAATTAATAAAAAAAATATCGTATAAATTAATAAAAACAAAATGCAATGGCTTATCATCTCAACTGTACTGTAAGAGGTGATAATTATCTTTCTAGTTCCTAAATCTTTATTCCTTCTGGAGTTTGAGGTTTTGATTGTGTAATTTTTTATAAATTGATTAAAGTTATTTTTTAATTTTTATTTTAAGAGTTTATAAATATTTTTTTTAAGAATAATTTTTTATTTAAATAAAAATATTATAATAAAAATTTGTATCTATATCGCCAAATACATTATTCGCTTATAAAGCATATTAGAAATAAATATATCAGGTCATTGTATCTAACACATGTAAGAACTAAATAAACTTGAAATCATAATAAAAAAGAATTACTTCTTTGAACTTTCTTAATGACAGAATAATTCAATATCTTTTGGAAATCAATCTTCAAAGGAAAATAGGCTAGATTGATAAAAATAGGAGCTTTGTTTAATCATTGAGTCTTTATTTCTTCAACTTTTAATTAAAAGTATGTTTTAATCCCTCTGTAAAAAAACAAATACATAGGATTTGATAAAAATTGATTGTTAAATTAGTTATTTACATTTAGAAAACACAAGTTTAATTGAATAAATCATAGAAAAAAGGATTAATTGGTTAAATTAAAAAAAATAATTGTAAAAATAAATAATTAAAACAAACATGAACTAAATTTATAAATGCAAAAGTAAAATCCTTCAAAGTTCAAAGCTCAAACCCCAGGGAAAAAACGAGAGCTTTACATTAACCCTACTCCTCAAAAGAGAAATAGTATAATACATTTATTTGGTTCATTGCACATTATTATACAGTAATTTAAGCTAAAAATTGTCATCTCTAATGCTAGTTCATAATATAGTAGATCATAATTTATATATTTATATATTAATTTTGTTTCCATCAATATTGATAAAAATTAGATTATGAATATCACATTAAAAAATTGACCCAAAAACTAAGAGTTTTTGTTGTTAATGTTGGGGTTAGAGTTTAATTTGTAGAAACTCTGGATTAGTTTTGGGTTTTTAATAGTTGTGTTTGGGGCTAAAATAACTAGTATTAAATGTGAATTTGGTATTATTAAAATAACCTTTAATACTTTATTTAAGTTAGTAAAAAATATAAAAAGAAAATAATATATAGAAACGAGAATAAGAGTGAAGAGCACATGGTTGTTCTTATCAAGTTATATTATATCTTGTATATTTATTTAGCAACTTAGGGTATTTATAAACCATGGTTACTTGAGCTTATCTCATAAAAAGTGAAGTAATGATTAAAAATAAATATTTTTTCTTGATAGTGACTTAAAAAGAAAAGTTATTGGTTATTATGTCTTACTATGTTATTGATAAGAAATGTTGGTGTCCACTAGTAATTGGCGAGAAAGGTTAGTGATGCAAAAGATTTATTTTTTTAATATATAATTTTATGTTAATAAATAAAACATTTGATTTGACTAATGAATTGAAATAAAATTTGGTGAATAGGTTCTAGACATCTAGTTTTCTTTAATATTATACTTTTGTAGCAATTATATATATATATATATATATATATATATATATATATCTTTTTGTAATGCTCAGAAGTTTTTATTTGAAATTTTTTATATTTTTCTAGTTGATTTAGGATATTTTTTCTTATTTGGTTTAAAACTTTTTTATTATTATTTTTTAGATTTATTTAGGACATTTTTCTCTTGTTCTTTTAGGAATCTTATTACTTTCCTTAATTTTTTTTGCTCATCTATTTTTAAATTTATTTGAGGAGTTATAAACTTTTCAAAGAGATAAAAAGCTTGAAGATAAAACATTTAGAAATAAAATTTTGAATTAGAATTTCATGTGATTACTTTTTTAGCATAATTTTATATTTTTATACTTGTTGTTTTTCCTGTGTTGCTTCCATCTATGTTAGTTTGAATCAAAACCCAACAATCCAAGGTTATTGCTTATTATGTGCTGGAATCCTAGGTTATTTTATTTGCTATGTGTTGCTAAATTATTATAGTTGAAAGAAGTTACAAAGCATAACGTATTTAGGTAAAAATGAGTTAAGGGATTCTCTCTTATGAGAGAAATGTTTAAGAACTACAAATATAAGACATGCAAAAATATATTGTGAACTAATCTATCAATTAGCAGAGGTGAGAAGCATGAGGGATTGTGAGATGAGTGATCATGATTTTATAACTAATTTTGTAAACTTGTTGCTAAAAATAAGCTTTACTGATTGATTGAGATAAATATTGTGGATGTTTTGTTAATCCTGTTTATAGTGAGATAGATATGGGTTGATATTCTCCATCAATTTATGATAATTATTTTAATGATGATACCATAAAAACTTAGGGTAATAATAGTGAAAATATCATTGATGATTTTCTTATTGATAAAATAGAGGTTAAATGCAAAGAAAACATGGAAAGTACTAAAAATATAAAATTATTGATTTAAATTACAATGATTCTTTTGATTACAAGGTTAATGTTATTATAAATATGGATTTATTCAAAGGCTACGTGAATATAACAAATATTAGTGAAACAAATTTGAGATTTAAAATTTATTATTTTGAAAGCTAATAGAAAATAAATAATTTTTTAATTATTGTTTCTTATATAAATTTTAAGATGAAGGAACATAAGTTGATATTTAAAATTGTTATACATTTAAAATAAAATAAAAAATAAGATAAAGAGTTTTATTGGACATCCATGAGATTAAAATAAGAGCAATTTAAACTTAATAATGAGTTTTTTTCAACAAGAAGAGACTGATGTAAAGCTTTTTTTCTTTTTAATATACCACTTATATTAATGAATATAATTTTTTATTTGATCATTAGATCTTTTAACTGAAAATTTTAAAAGTTTCTCAATAATCAAAGATCAAAAACATCTTATAATAATGTACATAAGTTACTATTTTATATTTGCTATATTTTTTAATTGATTTAATTTGTTTAATTTTTTGTATTTATCCAGATTTATCTAGTACATTTCTCGTATTTTTTTTGTAACTTCTATTTAAATTGAAAATATCTCATAAATTTTTTTTTAATTAGTATTTCTGGTGATCTTTTATTTAATGTAACTTTATATTTTTATGCTTGTTATTTTTTTTCCGTTCATGTCGGCTAGTGCCCTGTAAGGAAAGATATGCATTATACTGACTTTCTTGAATATGGTAACTTTGCATTGAAGCGTGTGCTAGTCATTGCACATCTTAAGATTTTTCACATCTTGGTTAGGACGAGGCAAGTTTGGAATGATTGCTTGGGCTAAAAAGCAGTCCCTGAGCTAAAGAGTAGTGCCCTATAATGGAAGGTTTCACGCTTTCACTTTCACTGGTGATGTTAGTGCTTGAGTTTGACGAATTGCAAATATTAAGATTGATGGGTTTTGAAATCAGTGCATGAACTTGAATTAATTGGATTATTACCTGCTATTGACATCAGTTAGTCAGAACTTTTTAGGGAGTCAAGAGTCAGATATACTTGGTTTCCCAGAAGGGGTTTTACAGGGAAGCAATGGCAAGTCCCTGGGGAAAATGGGTAATCTCATTTCTCTCATTCAATGCATCCACAAGTGCTCCATCCCCTGTTCTCAGCGTGTCTTGCTTGAGAGAATTTCAAGTAGATATTGTTGTGCATGAACTAGTAAACGATTACTTAGTAAAGATATTTAATTTTGGTGTTTGAGATAAAATTTATCTACTAAAGCCTCCGTACTCTCTTTTTCCTTTTCTTTTCCCCTTGATTTTGTAGCTGTTTTCTGGGAGGAACTTTGCCTTGGACCCTGTATTTTATTTGTCACTCTGTTTTCTGTCTCTGATCATGCATCTCGATACTAGTTGGATATAGTTTCTTCGTTGTGATTTACAAAGTAGAAAGAAAGAAATGCAATGCAAGACTCTTCATAGATTTAAAATGGCTGTTTTTAATTATCCATCACATAATCTCGCAACACATCAGGACATACAGAAAAAACTTTAAATCCACAGTCCAAACTAGTTTGGTCTGGTGTTCGCATGTGATGAGGTGAAAAACTTAAGAATATCCGAACATGACTGTGTAGCATCATGATTGTTCAGTAATTTAAATATATGCTTCAATCATGTTGTTCCACTATTGCTCAATCTCGAACAGCTAAAACTGGGGCTAGGATTGGTTGCTTCCACAAACAGAAGAACCAAAAACGAAAGAAAAAGTAAAATAAATATGTTGCGTCCATCTTAGCCTAGCAAATCTGAAGAACTTGTAATAGATTGGTTTGATGACTCAGATCCAAGGTAAGCCGTGTCGCAGGTGATGTCTTCCAGGTCTTTCAACGAAGGATAAGGGCTATTGAGTTTCATGTCAGTTAGCATTTGACGTAGATCAGATGTTTCCTCTTTGAGCTGAGCATTCTCGTGAACCACCCTATCATGACACTCTGATACATGGTTCAGCTTATCTAGGAGCTGGTGATTTTCGTTTCGGAACCAAACTACCTGTGACCAGAGCTCATCTAGGTGTTTCTGCTTGCGCATGCGTGATCGGCGCGCAGATTCTCTATTAGATACCATCCTTCTCTGTTTTCGCTCATTGATAAGAGAGAGTTGTTGCTCATCTGCTTCATCAGAAGTAGAGATGCTGCTCATACATGATGCTTGTAGACTGAATTCCTGAACTTGCGCAGGGATCTGGGAATTATAAGATGGGTTAGTGAATTGAAACATCTGTGAGTTATTCTGAGACATGCTAAAATTAGCTGAATATGGGGATGGGCTGGAAGGCACTAGATAATGGAGTCCTGTAACCTCACTTGGCTGCATGGCTAAAAGCTGGAGAAAACTTGAAGGATCTATGCCTCGGAGTTAGAAGGTGAACTATTCTGGTTTGGTCTTCTGTTGAACGAGGTCAGAGGCTCAAGGTTCAGTCGCCCTTTATAGCGCGGGGAAGGCTTGAGGTGACCCCACTGTTAGCAATTTGGAGTAACAGGAGTAAAGTTTCTTATAATATCATAGACCATTAGAGCATCGTGCAGATCATGTCATTGTTTTTGTGTACCCTTCAGTACATGTATGAATACCACTGATCCGAGTTTGTGTACTGTTTACCTTCTGTGGTCATGTTATGGTTATATGCACGACTAAACTGACGTGTACTCATAATCAGGTCCTGCAATTTGTGTTGTGGATAATCATCTGAGATCCAATAATGCATACATCAGAAGAGGGAGTTCGTATTGTGGGAAGTACAATTATTTTAATGGGAAAATGTTTGAGCAAATTAGTTTACAGAAAGTCGATCTTCAAAGTGGAGGTGTATTACTCCAAGCCAAGTTTATTTAGGTAGTTCACTTTATGTTCTTCAGCCAATGAGATCTTGCAAGGCAAGGAATTGGAGCAGAGGAAAGTACTCAAGCCATTCTCCATAATCATAACCACGAAAGATTATACAAGAGGGTTTGTGACTCGACAGCCACTTAACAGAAAAAAGATAATAGATTGAAAGTATGCAAAATTGAATTGATTTTGTGCAAGCACAAGCTCTCATACGGAATACTTTATGAATCGATCCTTTATGGCATGGCATGCCATAGATGGCCTCCTTACATTTGAGGGGGTTTCTGTAAGGTATGAGCCTGTAAATCCCCAGCAGTCGTTTTTGGAGAATGGCCAGAAATCATTTTCATGGGGTTATGATGTGCTTGAGTTCCAAAGTTCTAAGAAAGCTTGCTTGGATTTCTTGAATTCGTTATGTATGTATATGTAAACATGCATTTTAAAGATCACTAGCTTCCATGTGACATGTGATGATATAAAAACAGCCAGAATCTATTATTATTATTATTATTCAGCTGATGAGATGCGAGAAAACTATGGAAACAAGGTTGGCAACTTTCAAGTAGTAGTTACGTGTGGTCCAAGATGTTCTTCGAACTAATTGGAAGAGGGCAATACATAGTTTTGGATTTCCACATATCTATCGACTATATTCTATGTTTATATAATACAAAAAATAGTAGGGAGATCTGAGTGAGAATTGAGATCTTTAACAGTACTGGGAGAAAGTGATGGATACTTTTATACAATCACAACGGAAACAGAAATTATTCTTCAGATGAAGCCTCATGCAACACAGAACGGCACTATTTGATGCTGTTCTCCTTGCCAGAATCCGATTGATAGTACAACTGCTATAAAACATAAGAGAAATACACCTGAACAGTCTCTGGGAATTCAAAGTTTTTCGAAGAAATTCACAGAAGCAAGGTTTCTCCATAAAGGGCACATACCATTAAAATTTTGTGGTGGGCTGTTTCCTTCATTTTTTAACAGTTTTTTCCACCGAAGACCACTAGTTTGAGGATATTTGCATATCCAGTGTCACATTTAAAGCAATCTAGGGTACCCAAGTCAAATTGTGTAGGCTATATTACGAAACTGGTGGAAGATTAGCTTTGATCATAGGCGCCACACCACTTAACGCGCTACTCCCATCTAGTGGAAAGGGATGATCTCCGTCCACGGTGATGGTGGGGATGGAACTGGGGTGATATGAAAGAACTTTTATAGGCAAGCAAGCACTCCACTAAATGAAAAGGCTCTCTCTGAGACATTCTGGACCAAGAATTTTACCAAGGGAAAATGCTCTCCCCCCCACACTCCAGGTTCTTGAGTGGATCAATAGGACAACAATATCATTAGACAGAGACGGACTTGTCTTTCTTTTCCTGTCTTGCGGTCGACCTTACCTTGTCGCAAATTCCTCGTATTTTTTTTTTTTTTTCTAAAGACCTGTATCCTCCTTGTGGATTCTCATAGTATAGGATGGATAAGCTTTCAAAGAATTCATGTTGGTATATCATTTTATCCATTGTACTTGTAGTGTACACAGTGAAGCAGACAGAGTTTCGGTCAATGGTGCGCCAGTTGGACATGCTAACAGCTTAGTTTGACAGCCTGCGTGCGTTCGTCTCTGCTTCCAAACAAGAATAATTAAGAGAATTACCATTCGTATTTCAGTTCCTCGTTAGTGCTGGTCAAATGTGATTAATTCTTTGCAAAATTCGGAGCGTGCGTCAAAATTTGCCTGAACTACTAAAATTCTATGAGCTCCATTATCATACAACGATGGTGTGAACATGTTTGACTAGGGGGAGTTCATGCATGGAGGATATAGAGCTTGGATTTAAGAGCACAAGCTCTCGATGCATGGTGAATATCACCACATAAAGGGTGCGCCATTAATGGATTTTTTTTTTATTATTAATATAAATATTCAGATTAACTTATATGTATTTTGATTATATAAATTTTTAATGTTTTTAAAATTTATAAAATTTAAATTGATAATCCTTAAAATATAAATTTAAAACTTAACCGGTGAAGCTTTTATCCCTTAAAGTTGTTATTAATGGATACTTGAACTTTACGTGGAAGAGCATTCATCATCAGAATTTCTTTCTATTTTTCCTTAATTAACTCTTTTAATCCTTGCTATTTTATTAAGAAATAATTAAAAGCTCATCTTTTCCATACCAAACTTGCTTGTCTTATCATGCTCTTAAATCATTTCGCATCTTTCTTCCCTGTCCCAAACATTAGCAAGCTTGGTCCATGTCAGAAAATCACTTCATCGAAGAACAAGGTAGGGGTAACTTGGGAACATAAATATATCAACTAGAAAACATTTCCTTTTGGTCGTGCAGTTAAGGGTAAGCATCTCCCACAACTTTTATAATATGACATTCCATAGATTTGAAATCCAGATCAGCCTGGCGAGTCAACCCAGAACCTAACTAATCTAAACATGAAACGTGTTCGAATCTAAGTAAAAACTTGTTAAAAAATTGGTCTAGTGAAACTAGATTAACCCAACAGGTCAACCTAGAACCCGATCGATCTAGATAAACTTGGCTACAACTCGACTTAAAGAATGTGCTGGCATTATAAATAGCCAAGATAAAGAAGTCGGGCTAAGAACTCTTTACCCTCGATTCTTAGCATCTCAAGGAGACGATCCTTTAGAGAAGAGCATTTGAAACTTTATCTCTTGAAATGAATACCTATTCCTTAGCTTATGCCATTTACTTGAACAAGCAAAGAAAGACTTCAAAGAAGGTAGGAACTTATTCCTCTTCTCCTTCTATACGTGTATGTTACTGCAGCAACTAGAGAGATATGGATTTGGACATGGGAGCATTAGGAAGATTCTTTCTAGCTTATGTGATTCACTCCTTAAATTAAATAAAATAGTTGGCTTATTTGCTATTGTAAAGACAGGTTGTTTAAGAAGAGAAGAGAAAACAGATGCAACACTCATCCTGATAGATGCGAAACAGTGGAGGATGTGGGAGTTGCGGGTGCTATGGCTGGGCACGAGAAACTAGAAGAGAGAGAGAGGTCGTGTAATTTTAAAGAGAAATTTTTTTAGATTGACCTAAGTCAACCCATCTAACCCATGATTCCATTATTATACCGGGTTAACTACCAGGTTAACTACCAGATCGGGTTTAAAAACTATGCTACAATCACCCATGAAAACATGGGGGACACAATACAAATTTTACATGGGGTTTATTTAGAAATGTGGAGGAGATTGTATTTTTAAATTGTCTTAAGTTTTGAAAATTATTAAAATAATATTTTTTATTTAGCATTTAAAAAAATTTTAAGAATACAAATGAAATTAATTTGAAACTAAAAAAGATAATTTTAAAAGCACGGTTGAATCATAATACCAAACAACGTCTTATACTAATTATGTAACTTGCACTCTAGAGCAAGTTGGATAAAAAAAATTAAATAGAAGCAACAAATTTAAAAAAACCTTGAAGCTTGATTTTCAATTAACCAAATATTAAAGGATTAAATTAAAAAAAATACAAAATACAAAAGCATAAAAAAATAACAATTATAAGAAGAATAAAAAAAAGGAAGAAGAAGACCTGAACTCGCTCAGATCAATCCGCCAAACCTACAAGTCAAGTTAGAGATTGGGATAACCTGAAAAAAAAATGAAGAAAAATCACGAAATCCAATTTGTAAAAAAACCAATGATGAATCATGAGATGAAAAAGATTAAAAAACAACAATTATAAGTCGATAAAAGGCTTGAGCCCGCTTGGGTTAACTAATCAAATCCACAAGCTAGATCATGAGATTTAAAAAACCCTATAGTGAAAGGAAAATGAAAAAAAATCATAGAACCTAATTTAAAAAAAAAAATCAATGTCAAATTATGAGATGAGAAAAAAATAAGTTGATAAAAAAGAAAAATAATGTTAGCTCCTATTAGCTTATAAAACTCGTGCCCTAAACCATGTAATTGGAAGCATCAAATATGAAAAAAAACATGAAGGCCAAGTCCTATCAAATTAAATATTGAAGAATAAAATTAAAAGAAAAATTGATAACACAAAAGGATAAAAAAACAGTAATTAAAAGAAAAAAAATGTGAATTCAGCTGAGTTAACCTACCAAACCCATCATTAAGGACATAAGATTGAGATAATCTTGAAAAAAAAAATGAAGAAAACCATGAAGCCTATATATATATAATGCTGGAAAAAAGAAAATAAGTCTAAAAAAAAAAGATGGGAACCCATGTTAGCTTATAAAACCTGCAAACCAGGAAATTTGATTGGAAACACTGAACCTGAAAAAACAATTATGCTAATTTTTTTTTAAATAAAATTTTAAAAGATAAAATTGAAAAAAAATCAATTACAAAAAAAGAATTTAAAAGAAAAATAATAATTAAAAGAATAAGTATCAAATTTTTTAAAAACAAATAGAGAGAGGGTGGATAATTTTGGATTGAATGGCTAAATTGAAAATAAAAATCAATTTTATAAAATAACTAAAAGAAAAAACCACCAAAAGAAAGAAGACCACATTTGAAAAAAAAAATTGATTGAAGAAT